AGGTTCTAGACTTTGCCGGGAGACGAAAGTTGCATGTAAGAATATATACTATGCTATAGTTTAGGTGTTAGTGCAGGAGGCACTCGAAGATGCAAAACACTTGGTGAATGCGAAAAAGCGAACGCGAAGATGTGCGCTGCTATCTACCTGAAAGTTGGCTGCTGAAAGCATGCTAGGCTGCCCGTCTGACCTTTCCGGATTCCTACTTTCTTGCTCAACATGCAGAATGAGCATCCGTAATATACAAACCAAGCCGTTTTGAGGATGCAATATCTTTGCACACACTTGAACTGCTGGGATGTTTTCGGAACTGCCAACTACATTGCAGACTTCCCTTTGCAAGAAGGGTCCACAGAAAAAGTTCAGTTTGCCCATCAATTCACTACTAGTAATAGTAATGCTAATGACAGTAATGTACCCTGTACAACCTTAAACCCTAAACCCTATATTCTATATATAGCCCTAAAACTAAACAGCCCTAAAGAAGCGCACACTTTTCACAGCAATGCTAGGCAGTGCTCTCTGGCGTCGGACATTGTATCGCATCGCCAGGTTGCAACTTCCGAGATAACAAGCCTCAGTTGCTCTTAGGGTTTAGGGTTGAGGGTTTTAGGATTTAAGGGTTTTCGGGTTAAGGTTTTCGGGTGTGGGGTATAGGGTTAGAGTTTTAGGTTTAGGTTTGAGGTATTGGGATTTAGAAGTCCCTTGCTTACACTATGAGGAACCAGTGTTTGGGGGCAATGCGTTACTATGTGGTTTGGGAGATCATTGTGGTTTCCTGCATACCGCTTCCCGAAAATCCGTGCCTCTTGCCCACTATCTGCCTGGGGAGACCTACTGCGTTAATGTCTTGGTTTTCCGGTGAGGACTTCGTATATGAAGTTGCCCGACTTGCTGAAAAATGAAAAGGTTCCAGCTCGCGATTCTGGCCCCCTGGACAGCACCACCAATCAAATTAAGGGGTGGTCAAAAATGAAAGGGTTGGTTAACCTTCAGGCTACTTTGGGTGCAGAGCCTGCTGCAATTTGCTAGGTGAACCCTCCCCTTTTCGCCAAGTCTGAATTCTCAATTGAGACCTTGTATAAAGAAGCGTGGGTCCTCAGTCTTACACCCAAATCCTAAGCTGGTTGTTAAGTAGCGCCTATATAACCTGCAGTACACGACAGTTTCCATGTGTTTGCTTCCATTCCTTCATTCCCCACGAACAACCAGAAGATTAATGCCCCTACGTATCCTCAAACCTCAAACACAGAACCATAAACCTTCATCCCCTTAAACCCTACCAGGACCCCAAAAGTATGTAAAGTAATAGCCCTAAGCCCATAATAATAGCCATAAAGGTCATTATTTTACATACTTTTAGGATATAGAAACCCTAAACCCTAAACCCTTAAGCCGTAAACCCTTAAACCCTCAAACCCTAAGCTCAATGCGTCCAGGGAGCTGCTGGACAACTGTGGCATGTCTCGCCAAAGTCTCTTTTGAGACCTTCCCTGTTCGCCGCCGGAAACCTTTCCCTGGGAGTTAGGATTTAGGGTGTTTAGGGTTAAGGGTTTAGGATTTAGGGTTTAGGGCCCGGGTCCTCTCCCCCCAGATGAAGGAATCACCATGGAAATCCTGTAAGTAAACATAAGCTCATAAATACCAGTAGCAGTAATACTACTAACAATAAGAGTAGTAACAAGAATAATAGCTATAATCATATCCTACACTTCGATGTCAGAATAAAATCCGACTCTCTTGGCTTTCTGCGAAAATGGGCTTGAGCTATGACCTGTAGCTTTAGCCAGGGTAATGTGTTTGTTTCAGGTTGGACCAGAGCAGCCTTTACTGTGTGGATCATAGCTGCCCTACAGTGACATGAGCATGCACCTCTGTTAGATCTGATATCATGAAGGCTGGGCCGATGTCTCTGAGTTGACAACTTTGCGCACAACCCTGGGACCTTGCATAAACACAGAACCTTCAATTGAAGAGCAAACAATCTCCGTTTCCGATCAGCGTGCATGAGCTGGCAGCGAAGGTCCAAGTGCCACGCGCTGCGATTTCTCGTACAATGGGTGATCCAATCTCAAAATCTCATGCAATCGCATTGCCACACATTTCCCTTCTAACACCCTCAGGCCTTACAGGAATCTCTTCAATTCGGCATAATTAAGCCCCAAAATCCTACGTAGTTCTAGCATGTTCTGGCGACCTCTCAGAATCACGATCAACACTTGGACCCTTGGCACCAAGGTCTTCACCACGCCCCAGCTGACTAATTTTGTCAGCAGTTGCTGGCTCTCAGTAGGGAACAAGGGAATAGGGTTTAGGGTTTAGGGTTTTGGGAATTCAAGGCTCAGGGCCTACTTGCTGGTGGTTGGCAGGAATGAAGAGATAGTTTTACTGAAGGAAAACACGAAGTCCCAAATTGACCCTAAAGGTCCTACATGCATATAGGCTATAGGGGCTGCAACGCATGATTGCATAGGGAACCGAAAAGAAACTCTTAACCCCATTGCCTACTGGCCACCAAATACGGCATACGAAATGAGAAAGCGGCAAATGGCAACCAGCTCTACATGGACACGACGTTCCAAGGCTTTGGGCGGTGAAGTTATGACTGCCGTAGGATCCATTCCCTCATTCCCTAGCAAGCGCCAGGGAGTTGCTGGCTCTCAGTAGGTAGAGACACTAGAGGGCCTGTAGCCCAAATGCCACGGAGGCTTTGGCACCGACGCTTTGTGCAGAAGTGGCAGGGGTTCTTGACAAGGGCACCTCTAGGGTCTAATGCGCTTACCAGCCCTCTCTCTCTCTCGCTCTCTCTCTCTATCTCTCTCGCTCTCTATATATATATATGTGTATACAAATAGATATACATGTGTATATATATATATATATACATAGCCATGGGACTACAGGGTTTACCTCTCAGGGACTTCGGAGGTTTTGCTGCCCTTGGTTTTCAAGGCCATGCTGCGGTGGGAGACCTGAAGGTCTTAGGAGGTTGGCAGGAATGAAGTCTCATGCTTGCATGTTAGCACGTGTATATACATATCTGTATGCAGACCCGTATGAATTTGTCTACATCTATGTCTGTATATACATATATATATATACATCTGGCGCAATACGTATGAGTGTATGCAAGAGTACCCTCGAGCTTAAAATCATCACAGGGCCCAGCAATATTGTAGTGACCAGAAAGAGATCCATGAAGTCAATTAATCCACAGAGCCCTCAAACCATCCAAATCTTCAGAAACAGAACTCAGAACATCCTTGCATCTTAAATTCAAGGTGCCTGGAAGCCTCGCGCATGTACTGTTGGCAAGAGGGCCCCCTTTGCATCCTGCCCTTTAGCGCGCTCCCCTACCGAGGCCTCAAGGGTCAAATTCGAAGGGAGCCTCAAAAGTGGTGAAGTTCTCGCAGAGACTCTAATTTTTCAAATATCTGTGCTTCCAAATGCCTTCTCAAAACTGCGAAATCTCTCAATCTTTCTATCGGCGACCCAACCATGTGTTAAAAGAACAGGAGTGAGAAGGCACATGGAAGTTTACCATTACGGGGATCCGCAAGAAGCAGCACATTTTTCGCCTTCAACCCGATTCACGCGACAGAAAGCGAATATTTGAAGATTCGCAAATGGATTGGGGCTGACCCCCCCTATCTTCGAAGTACCCGGATGTACAGCATGGGGACCGCCCCCAAAAGGACGCAATAAGCTTTTCACCAACACACCAAAAGCGCATGGGCAAAGGTTGCGAATTCGGCTGCTTCTGGGATCCCCAGCTAAACAACAATGCATGGCTGCTGTCAGATGGGTCTTTTAGTTGCTTGTAGAGTTCAAAGCACATGCTAGACCGTGTCGTCTCAAAAGACACACAAGGTCAAACATTGAGTCAGTGAGCACTTAGGGCTCCACGTGCAGAAGCTGGTCTTCAATGGAGAAATGCTCCACTTGGGAAGGACTCCCCTAAACCCCACATGTCAGTTGGTATGGCCTTACAAGCAAGGCTTCGAAGGTACCAAGAACCTTGCAGAAACCCTTAGCCTCAAGTGTAAAAAGCTGTGCCCAAGGCATGGCAACTATACTATACGCAATCCCCGAAGTAAACGTCAGGATAACAACCGTTTTGCCTCTAAAGAAAATACTTCTTGCAGCGGGGCAGTATAAGGGAATTGTGGAAGTTGAGGTGTAGATGCGCGGCAATAGCTCCCCAAATTCTCCTTCGATGACTCCCTCATGGTCACGTTCGACCAGATTGAAGATTTAAGATCCCTAAGTTCCTTATCGCTTCGGCCCGTAAAAAGGGTCTGAAAATAAATGTATCAAACCGGCGCCCAAAAACTCATATGCTGTCCAGATTATGGTTCCTTTTGGGGTACCACATATACATATATTGTGATGTAAATTGGGCAGCGTTGTTCTGTTGACCCGGCTACATTTTTTGATAACATGCCATTTGCTCTCATGACCTGTCTGGTAGCAGTCCGAGACCCAAGCCACTTTTTCCTCGCTGGTGAGTTGAGCAAGCCCATAGCTTTCAAGACCTTGTCGAAATTCTGCGCTCTTTCCTTGGCACAAGGACTCTTTCAGCTGCTAAGTGTATTGCTAGATAGCCTGAAACACTGTTCGGGAATCCTGCTGAACATCCTGTGAACAGAGGGGCTGCTGGAATTGTTCATGTTTGTGTGGCATGCTTGCTTGGGTTCCAGAAGTTCAGGGAATATGAAAGTGTCCAGAGTGTCCTTTGAAATGGGTGATCCGCAGCACATTTCAAAGCCTCTGGCAGCCGCCTCCCGGAGGAATGCGCCTATGTCTGAGCCTAACCCTGGCTTGGATTCCCACCATGGACCATACTTCTGTTGGAGGCACATCTGCATACTGCACTGGCCATCGCATTCCAAATAGATTCCCAAATAGCACCATGCTGTTTCTCCAAGTTCTGTGCAGCCTTAAGGACAAACTTCAAACCCATGAATCCTGAAAACTCGCTGTCTTGTCTAACGAGATTCGGAGGCCGCATGAAGCTCTCCCGTGCCGCAGTTGGGCGGGTTATGGCAGCCGCGGTTGACGATGCCGGAGGCCCCGTTGATGAACGACCGGTCACCAGTCTGCATGCCGTTGTCCACCCACCTCATGCAGCTGCCCAGGTTTGGGAGCGCTTCGCGTTAGTTTTGCAAGCAACTCCTACTTCTCAGGGGACTCCGAGAATAATAAGGAGCGATGAGACATGGTTTGGCTTCAAGGAGGCGAAGCGAGCGCTGTGAGATCGAGTTTTTGAAGCTATCATTATCAAGGTTGCCTTAGTTTCAGAAGCTGAACCCTAAAGCCTAAACCCGACACCCTAAACCCTTTTATAGGGCCATGCTGGGACTGTTTCCCATATAAGCCAGCATGTGGGTGAAGGCGGGTGAGGGTGTGGAACTGTGAGGCTGGCAGAATTCGCCGAGCCTACCCTACACAGCCCTACCCAAACTTACTGGGGCTTAGTAGGAATATTGGGACATAATCCCTATATAAGCCCGGTATACTATATTCCTTTATTCCCCGCTAACCACTAGTACCCAAACCCTTCTAGGCTGCTTAGTGTTAGCTGTATCAGTTGTCACCAGAGATTTGCGTGACACTCCCTCAACCCTAAACCCTTGACCCTACGCCCTTTCAACCCCTTAATCCCACAAAACCCCAAACCCTATAGACCCTAAACCCCTTAAATCCCCTAATACCTTGACCAAGGCACTTCTTCAGTTCGGTGATGTAATTCCATCCGCCAGAGTTGTATGGTTGCACTGCGTTAAGCCTCACACTGTGTTGGGCTCTCTCTGAAGAGGGGCAGGAGACATCGGGCTCAGGGTTTAGGGTATGAGACAAGCTAGACATAAATAAAATAGAAGGTTCAAGGTTCAAGATCGGGAAATACCCAGGCAGCAAACCGTCAAAGAGTTCCCAACATAAACTCTGTGATAGATACTACCCGGAACTTTGCTGGAAGGATCCCGCCACGGGATTGAGTTTGAGAGGTACCTGGGGCTACCTGCAGCCAAGAGGAGGTACAGTAATACCCAAACCCTTCAAAAACATCAGCCATAATACTAGTCTACATACATCCGGATCCAGGCACTTGCAACCTCATAAGACTGGTGTGAAAATAATATCCCAGTTGTGAGTTCTACCTGGTGAATTTACATCCCATCCCCTTTGCGGGTGTACCAAGTTCCTGGTTATCCATATGGCTCCCTACACATACATTGCATTAGCGGACCCAGAGACCCGTGCATGCAAAGGTCGACGCAAGCCTCCTCCAAACATTACTCAAGGCGAACTGCCATGCAATGTGCACCAGCAGTGCTTCTGCTTCCCAAGCTGTCGAAAAAACAACTTGCCTGAGTGCATCACATGGGCAACGCTTCCTCAAGCAGCGCTGGCATTCCCGAAATAAGTTTGGTCAGTTCTGTACACCCAAACATGCTGTATGAGCCATTGTCTGAACTTAATATCCTTTTTTAACAGGCCCTATGATAGTCCCCAATACAATGCCCTATACAATCCCCTTTCAGGAGTTTAGACTGTAGCTCATATGACCCCCATGGTAAGAACTCCTAAAAGGACGTTTTTGTAGCCATCACGGGTGCAAATTATGCCAACCCTCAGTCCTAAACCGGCTGGACCCCAACTACTACTGGGTTGCCATTAATGAACTTGAACTAAGTTACCATAATATGGCTATATAGTAACTACTAGGGTTTCCTTACTATGGTATATACGTAATGGTATATACCTAATGGTATATACGTAAGTTAAGTTCCTTAACAGCAACCCAGGCTAAATTGCGGTCGGGAAGCCAATAGAACATGCCGGCAACCCACTTCAGCTCTGGTGGACCTCAGAACCGTGGCTTTGGTTTAGGCTAATAGGGTTTAGGGGTTGTTTAGGCTTTGCTTAGGGTTTAGGGTTTTTGAGGTTGCTCGGTTTAGGATCTAGGGTTTAGGGCTTGAGTCTCTGTGGGCGCGCAGCTACCCAGTTTGATAGGCCTGTGCAGCCGGTTGAGGGCTTGGGGACAGGAAATTGCTGCACCTTACCCTGGACCGTACGCCCAAACCCTGAACCCCAAAGCCATAAACCTTTGAATGTGCTCGCACATTTTCAGGGGTACGTCTTTTTCGGGCAACTCCCATTGTTGGCGACACCTACTAGGTTGAAGAAGATCGAGATGTATCCCTCAAGCTTGGAGAGATTCTGAATATTTTTGTTGACCCTGGTCAGGACTTTCATCCAGCGAGAAGAGAGGTCCGCCAATAAATGTTCCTGGTTGCGAGGGAGAACGATCCGATGTTCCGGAAAGAGTGTGGAAATTTAGTGTTCCTAGATACACTCTGAGGCACCCACTACACCCTAAACCTTAGGTTCTGGGCCCTGCAGATGCTGAACCCAACAATATCCTCTCAGCGCCCCTGAATCCATGCAGCCCCAACCCAGAAGTGGGCGTTTCCAACGAACAAGGATCCCACCTGTATACACTCATGCACGAGGTCCCTGATTACAAAGACCCCTACAAAAAGGACCATGATTTTGAGAAACCAGGAATCAGCCAGGGTTTATATAGATATACAAGGATATACAGCACCCACCAAAATCTATAGTCAAATCCAACTTCACGCGGGGGTTTCCACAACTAGTGCCCCCTCCCGCACATAATAGAGCCAGTACAGTATCAAAGCCTAGATATCCCTACAGATCCCCCTCTAGCCCTTCCCTAAACTCTAAACCCTTTTTATCTGCTGTATTTACACAAGCCCTTCTCCCTAAAGCCTAAACCCTGAACCCTAAACCCTGCGTGTGCATATACTATATATAAATATAAATGTATAAGTATAAAAAACATCGCTGCTGTGATTACATAACCCCTTTAACAGAACCCCTAAGCCCCAGTCATCTTTTAACCCATAGCCAAGGAAGGCGCTGCTGGGGTCGCAGATGGAGTTCCTTTGCAAGTGGGTGGCTTTCCGCGCATTTGTTTAGGTTGAGGGTTTAGGGCGCGCCGCCTAGGAGTGGGTACCCGTAGTTTAGGGTTTGGGGTTTAGGGTCTGGGGTTTCTGGTCGCCTCAGACCCCAAATTGAGGACCCAAAGACCTTGTCTTTTCCAAAGGTTGGGGTAAACAACATCCTCCTGATTACTTAAGCTGGTGGCTTATGGTTGGGCAAAATCAGCATGGCTTTCTTGGGAGCATGGGGAGTGTGTAGTAGCTGTATCTGTGCGGGTTAATGCTTCTAGTATGAATCTGCACGAAATGACACCCCGCATGTAGGCTGACCAGTTATCTTAGAAGAAAAAATATGCGCCCTCACCAAAATCATGCTAAGAACCTCCCTATAAAGCGTTACATAGGACTTCAGATTTGGGCTATACTGTTGATGGAAGCATCCTGCCCCACCTTAAGTCCCTGTAGTCTTGGCAGTTGCAAGTGGTGCTTGGGCTCTAGGTGGTGCAAGGCTTCCTTCAGCAATAAGATCGAAGTAGGGTGTGCTTGGAATTCTGGGAGCTAATGTTAGAACAGTGATATTCTTGGAACATCTGGGAAAGTGACTGGGGTCGCCAAGTCTTGGCAATCTCTGTCTCGTGCTGGCCTACCACACAGGTTCGGACCACCCATCCCAGTACATCACTTGGTGCAAGCATCTGCATAGCACATTCCCG